GTTTTAATTATTCGCATATGCTCATTAATTTTATCCATGTATTCATTTCCATGTGAATGAATTCGTATATGATCTGCAACACATCGTCGCCTTCCAAAACACACCATACGGGGCTGTTAACATGATAGATGTGAACAACGAACTGGGCGAGTTCATTGTAAGAACAAGGTAGGTAATTGTGAACTGGTTGGCATTGGCCGGGTGACCATGACGTTAGTAGAGACACGTACATAAGTTTTATTTGTTTTACGTCAACCAGAAAACGACAATTTTTGTCAAATATACATGTCCAAAGTTTCGAATCGCAGGGCGTCGGTGAGCAAAAATGACATATTCATATCGCCCAATATTAAACAAATAGTACGCATAAATTAAAATTAAAATACCCGGATATTAAAGTAAACGCCTCTTGAGTCGCCCGGCATTGAGGCGTAAAGACTTACATCTGTCTCGTTTTTAAACGGTTCACCTTCTAAAATAGGTCAGGTTACGAACTTTCAAAGATTTATTGTAAAGTTCACACAAGGACCTGCTTTTAAACAAAGAAATTACGCAATGCACTAAATTGTTGTTTACATTTTTGTCACTAGGAGATTATATATATATATATATATATATATATAATCTGTGTTTCAAATGACATCATTTTAATCACAACCACAAATCAGAACGTGATTGTCAAGTTCAACATGGTTATGCATAATTTTCTTACTTGTATTTTTGTTAAATTACCGTGGTCGACATAAATTACCTCGAATGACATGCATTCACATCAAAGTGCATACGCGATAACAATTAATTCACGTCGGCGGCAGTCGATGTATCCAGAACAATAGATAACAATTTCAAACCACAATTGTCAGGTAGTACGATCACTTAGTACCTTCACTGAAAACAACAATTATCCATTATCAGGTAGCAGGGTCACTTATTACTTTCAATTTTATGTTTTGTTATTTGTTAACTCGGTGAGCTGCTTGGGTTATCAGCCTGAGAATACTCTCTGATTGGCATCAAAATATATCCGCCATACAACATTTGAGGCAAGACCGAACAAA